TGAAGATAGAGAAGAGAGGAAGAGTGAACAGAGGGGTGGGTGGGAGAGGTAATGGAGGTTTGGGTGTAAGAGGTGGAGGGGGAGCTGGATTGGGAGGAGGAGGTGAGAATGAGGTAGGACAAAGAGGAGATGTTGAAGGAGGAGATAGGGCTGTGGTTGGTGGAAGACCAGGAGAAGACTCACATCTAACCCAGCAGGACTACCTCCAGCTGATGAAATCACTGAGCGTCAGGCTCCCTGAAGGTGTCCTAACCCCACAGGTGATTAAGCTGGCTAACATGGAGAGCAGTATCCAGGATGCCCAGAACATCATCCCAGACCTGGAACACTTTAACATCCGGTTCAAAGCCGTTCCTCGACTGGGCTGCCAGGAGGTTAAACACTTTCTGGCCATGAAAAGGGACGGCCAGGTCCTTCAAATCACAAAACTCCTCTTCTTTGACCAGGAGGATGATGAAGAAAAGCGTAGGAAACACTGGAGGGGGAACAAGACCAACACAGGCCGAGAGTTCAGGCTGAGGAATAGGTACATGGGTGATACAGCGGTCTCAACACCGGCTATGTACACCACTGCTGCCACCAGGAGTTGGGCTAGGCTGGAGGTGGGGGAGGTGTCTTCGATAGTGACTCAAGGAACCAGAGTGAATGTGAAAGACATTGAGAGCAAAGAGTATTGTGACGAGTCAGGGTTCTGGAGGAACGGAGTGTCACACAGGCCTCAGCGTTTCGGTATGTTCTTCCAGAATAAAGCAGACGAGTTGGAAATGCTCAAGTTCTTTCATGAGCTGGGAGAGGGCGGGTCAGGTGGAACCAGGACAGCATCATACACCAAAGGCAACAAGGTGGAGTATGGATTCCTCAGTGGAAAGTTGGACTTCCTGGCCCAAATCCAGACTGACAATTCTGGAAAAAACGGAAAGGCCACTGACAAGAGGAAACGTGAGCGGCTTGTGATTGAATGCAAAAGCACTACCGGCGACATGGTTGGGAAACTGTTCACTAAAATCCCCAACAGTAACCATGCGGAAATAAACAAAACACATGAGTACAGCTACCAGGTCCAGACCTACATGTACATTCTGAATAGGGAGGGGGAGGAAGAGAGCAGTGATGATTGTGAGACACTACCACCAGGGAGGGAAACCTCCCAGGGACTTCCACTGGAGTTACCTGCAGATAGAGCCCTCTGTCCAGGCTGAGATAGACAAGCTGAGGGCCCTACTCCAGGTGGAGGTGTTGGCTTGCTACTTAGCCCTCCTCAACCTCATCTTCCAGAGGGAAACTCAACCTCCATAACTGTGATTTTTATTATTAATTAGGTTGTATGATTATGTCTAGTCTATTACTTATTATACTGGAAAGAAAATCTTAATAATTTAGTTCTTTTTTAAAGTATCTACAGTCGTGGTCAAAAGTTGAGAATGACACAAATATTAATTTTCACAGTCTGCTGCCTCAGTTTTTATGATGGCAATTTGCATATACTCCAGAATGTTATGAAGAGTGATCAGATGAATTGCAATTAATTGGAAGCGCCAGGACCGTCTCCTAAAGTTGATTCAGCTGCGGGATTGGGGCACCACCAGTGCAGAGCTTGCTCAGGAATGGCAGCAGGCAGGTGTGAGTGCATCTGCACGCACAGTGAGGCGAAGACTTTTGGAGGATGGCCTGGTGTCAAGAAGGGCAGCGAGGAAGCCACTTATCTCCAGGAAAAACATCAGGGACAGACTGATATTCTGCAAAAGGTACAGGGATTGGACTGCTGAGGACTGGGATAAAGTCATTTTCTCTGATGAATCCCCTTTCCGATTGTTTGGGACATCCAGAAAAAAGCTTGTCCGGAGAAGATAAGGTGAGTGCTACCATCAGTCCTGTGTCATGCCAACAGTAAAGCATCCTGAGGCCATTCATGTGTGGGGTTGCTTCTCAGCCAAGGGAGTGGGCTCACTCACCATTTTGCCTAAGAACACAGCCATGAATAAAGAATGGTACCAACACATTCTCAGAGAGCAACTTCTCCCAACCATCCAAGAACAGTTTGGTGACGAACAATGCCTTTTCCAGCATGATGGAGCACCTTGCCATAAGGCAAAAGTGATAACTAAGTGGCTCAGGGAACAAAACATTTTCAGGTCTCCAGAGATGTTAGATCAGGTTCAAGTCCGGGCTCTAGCTGGGCCAGTCAAGGACATTCAGACTTGTCCCGAAGCCATTCCTGCATTGTCTTGGCTGTTTGCTTAGGGTCATTGTCCTGTTGGAAGGTGAACCTTCACCCCAGTCGAAGGTTCTGAGTGCTCTGGAGCAGGTTTTCATCAAGGATCTCTCTGTACTTTCCCTCGATCCTGACTAGTCTCCCAATCCCTTCAGCTGAAAAACATCCCCACAGTATGATGCTGCCACCAATATGCTTCACCGTAGGGATGGTGCCAGGTTTCCTCCAGATGTGATGCTTCGAATTCAGGCCAAAGAGTTAAATCTTGGTTTCATCAGAACAGAGAATCTTGTTTCTCATGGTCTGAGAGTCCTTTAGGTGCCTTTTGGGATGTCATGTGCCTTTTACTGAGGAGTGGCTTCCGTCTGGCAACTACCATAAAGGCCTGATTGATGGAGTGCTGCAGAGATGGTTGTCCTTCTGGGAGGTTCTCCCATCTCCACAGAGGAACTCTGGAGCTCTGTCAGAGTGACCATCGGGTTCTTGGTCACCTCCCTGACCAAGGCCCTTCTACCCCGATTGCTGTTTGGCCAGGCAACCAGCTCTAGGAAGAGTCTTGGTGGTTCCAAACTTCTTCCATTTAAGAATGATGGAGGCCACTATGTTCTTGGGGACCTTCAATGCTGCAGAAATGTTTTGGAACCCTTCCCCAGATCTGTGCCTCGACACAATCCTGTCTCGGAGATCTACGGACAATTCCTTCGACCTCATGGCTTGGTTTTTGCACTGTCAACTGTGGGACCTTATATAGACAGGTGTGTGCCTTTCCAAATCATGTCCAATCAATTGAATTTACCACAGGTGGAATCCAATCAAGTTGTAGAAACATCTCAAGGATGATCAATGGAAACAGGTTGCACCTGAGCTCAATTTTGAATAATTATGTAAATAAGGTATTTCTGTTTTTATTTTTAATAAATTAGCCAAAATGTATAAAAACCTGTTTTTGCTTTGTCATTATGGGGTATTGTGTGTAGATTGATGAGGACATTTTTTTATTTAACCCATTTTAGAATAAGGCTGTAACGTAACAAAATGTGGAAAAGTCAAGGGGTCGGAATACTTTCCGAAGGCACTGTAAATCATATTTTATCAGTACATAGAGAGCAGTTGTTTTAAAAATATATTTATTATAATGTTTTACATTGTGTTGCTTAGGGAGTTAATTGCCCCTGCAAACACGCCAGCACACTCAAACTTGTCATACACGACAGATTCAGAACTGTAATCAAACACACTTTATTCATTTTTTTTATTTTTATGCAAAAGTAAGAACAAATAGCATCACAAACTAAAGCCAAAGTCAGAACTGACCAAATCCATTGAAACCAGATTTGGTTTAGTTCTGATCCGTTTCTCCACGTCTCATTGGGGCCTGTTGCCCTGGGTCAGGTCTAACTAATGCTATCTTTCAGGACCTGATTGAACTAAGCGAGTGCTATGGGCCAAGTCTTTTTTATTTTTAAGAACACCACAAATCAAACAAACAAAAATATTCACCCACGTCACAGATAGCACATAATAAATGTGTATTTTTCATGATTATATAAATGTCTTCTGTTCCTCCATTTTACTGTTGAACGCAAAGTGCCTTCTGTTGCCTTATGAAGGTCCTGTTCAATCACAGCATTATATTACAAAATCATAATAAATGTCCTCAGTATCATAACCAAGTGGGAAAGAGGTATTTACCACATACGATGGAAAAAATCCACTTGAACACCCCTCCAGCTGGTAATTACTAGTGGGAAACTTGTCTATCATCTCTGAGCTCAGACTTCTCCCACATGGTGACCTCTGACGTCACCTACTAAGGAAATTACCTTGATAACAGCATTTTTGGCTGTTAAATGCAACAAAACATTATTTATAAAAAGCAATCTATTAATATGGTTTTTGAACACTAATTTGTTCACAAGCGTGAAAGCTGTACTTTTAATTTACAGTTGATGCCGCTTGTTGGCCATTAGCCAATCTGCGTTTCTCAAAGAGTTTAAAGAACGTGAATGCATCCAACTGGTATTTACGACTTCACAACTGGTAATTATCACATTCCCACTCTGTTATGAACGCAACATAACAGTAGGAATGGTTGGGGTCAATGCCATTTCAATTTTGTCAACTTAGGAAGTGAACTGATGGGAACTGAATTAAAATGTAATTGGTCCCAACCCTACTCTTCAAAAGCTAAGGAAAAGGTGTAAAGGGTCAGAAGTACATTTTGGTCAAGGCCCAGTCAGCATCCTACTCTAAAATAGCAACACGGAGTAAATGTGTGTGTCTGTACTGTAGTGTATTGTGGTCCAATTTCATTTGAAGGTCGTTATTAAATATTTTTACCCATTCGTACATTTTAGGCTAAGTGATAGTTTGTGTTTATTTATTTCTTAACAATAGTAAATATATGTTACTGTTTTAAATGTATAAACCATTTATTACGATGACCTGTAAGCATATAAACCGTGAATAACAAGCCTGCATGTATTCACTTACTGTGATATTACCATGTAAAAAGGATTCTAAGCAATGTATAAGCAAGCAGACCTTCATATAAAGTGTGACCTACGAGTCAGTACAGCCATCAGCTACTGAAACAAACTGGATGGGAGTCGTGTTAGAAACGGTTCCTATGGATGCATTGTGTCCACACTAACATATGTCAGTCATGTAGAAAGGCCTTTCGGTTTCCACTAGATAACACAGCCCCAAAGTCAAAATTGGCTCTATCATAAAGATTAATTTAAGGTCAGGGTTAGGCATCAGGTTATCAGTGTGATTAAGGTTAGTTAGGTTTAAAATCAGATTTTAAGAACATACATTTTAGAAATAGGCAGGGTTCATGACTTTGTGGCTGCGTTAACTAGTAACGACCCTTGTATTGTGCCAAATGTAACAGAGTTTTTGAGACATCACTCTCCATCCAGAGGTGGCCACTCCAGTTCATGAAAGGAAAAAAAGTGTATCGAGGTTTTTGTTGCCACCTCCAAATAATGACGCCTGGGCCATGCAAACCAGGGGAGGTGACTTATCATCTAATATAATGAACTAAGTGTTTGGGAGTCAGATGTCACAGACAGATCTTCCAACCTTCCATAAACTGGTGTGCCCACCTCTAAACTCGTCCCTGAAACTGTCAAAACGAACTAGGATGAAGTTGCGCCTAGACACTGAACTGAGGTCAGTTTTATGTTTCTCCGGATTTGGAGAGAGTAAGTGATGATCCTAGATCTGTGCGTAAGGGCAATATCTATCCGAAGCGTCAAAAGCGTCACACGGGATAGATCCCTCCCACTACTGACGTCATCAGATCACATGGGAAGCAAGTGGTCATCCCTCTCTTCTGGCTCCTCCTCTGGCTCTGTGGACACGCCCCTGTATGTGGGAGGTTCCTCTTCGGGGCCCTGTGTCCTACACACGAAATTACATCCATCCTGAGGGTGAGAGAGAGTGAGAAGAGAGTTATGACTGTCTAGCCAATCCCAGCCCTCACAGAAGAGCTAAGTGCCCTAAAGTAATGCATAAATGTGGCCTTCAACATACACACTGAATCCCAAATCAACCCATATACCCTCCTCCGACATAGAATCCAAAAATCAACCCATATACCCTCCTTCAACATAGACCCTGAATCCCAAATCAACCCATATACCCTCCTTCAACATAGACCCTGAATCCCAAATCAACCCATATACCCTCCTTCAACATAGACCCTGAATCCCAAATCAACCCATATACCCTCCTTCACATACACTGAATCCCAAAATCAACCCATATACCCTCTTCTGACCTAAACACTCGTAGGGGATAGGGTTTGGTTTGGGATTGGACCAGAGATATATGACGTCCATTGTCTCACGTCAGATAGCGCAACTGCCATCTGCACCGATCTATCTGACAACTCGCAAACACTCATCGCATAGCTAGAAAGAAGTTCGAAAATGTTACCAAGGTGACATTGTCCACTAAACCCCCTTTCATCCTCAAAAGAGTCAGAGTTAAACATACCAAAAACAATAAACCTGTAGCTAATATTGATGTTTTTTTCATGAGCAAGTCTTCACTACCTAATTCTCTAGCTACGGTATTTTCTGGTGGTATAATCAGTATTTATGACATTCGAAATGTGCACAAACATTTGCTAGCTAGCTCGTGTCTGCTTGCTGGCTGAACCAGTCTCAAATCAATCCATATGAAACGAAAGGCAGGGATGCTAACAACGCCAGTTCACCCACTCAATGCTGAATACTCCCTCTAGCTAGCTAGTGTAGTGAAGTTCCAGCTAACGCACAAATTAGTTTTCATGATATCTGTTCTGCCGTGATTAGCGCGCCGAGTTCTACAGCACAGATGACTGCTCTCTGTGACATTATCGCGTTGGCCAAATGTTACAAAGTAGCGAGGCACAGTGCCATCTGTCCGAGTCAGATACATGCTAATTTCTAAGAACAGTCCCATAACTTTGCTGCCGTACTTCATCAACAAGCTGGCAAACTAGCTACTGTATGGCCATTCAAACAAGCTTGCACTAGGCTGCTAGCTGGAGCAAGTTTGCTCAGCTGATCGAGCATGATTTGCCGTAGTAGCCAGTGTGTCATAGCTACCAAGAGAGGAGTGATTTTCAGAATTAGGAACTAGTGTTAGGCAGATTAGGAAAATCTAGATTTTTTTTAGATGAGGTCCACGTCCCACAAGACAGATCTTTTGAGGGACGAGCTTCACGTAGGAGTGACGCCGTCTGACGTGAGACAGTGTTGTGACCTCTACAAACACTCACCGCTGCCAGGTTGCCAACCTGCGTCCAGAAGACATAATTGGGGAACTGCTGCAACCCTTTGGCCCCGACAATCAACCGCTGGTAGAGGAATCCACAAATGAGGTACAGTGACAAGAGGACGAACCCACTGGGGTAGAGAGGAATGAATGAACAAATATTACTGGGTCAAATCTCCTGTTGGAAACCCATCCCATTAATTGACACATGAACAAACATCACAATGATTCACAGTGATAATTATTCTGGTGTTCTGCTGTGTTAAGCGTTGAGGAAATAAGAGACCATTATCATAATGAATACCAATAAATATGTAAATATGACCATTCATTTCTCCGTTCAGTTTTGCTTGGTCTTGTAGCTTTGTTTGTTGTGAGCGAATGACAAGTCCATTTCATAGGGTATTGAGTATTTGTGTTGGAGAGCCAGAAATGGAGAGCCTTTGTTGCTGCCCTGTGTGCAAGCCAGCGGGTTGGGGATAAGTGTGTGAGTATTTTTGTAGTCAAATGAGTGTGTGTAATCAGGAAGGGTGCATAATCTTAGTACTAACATTATGAGTATTATGGAGCCTGCACTGAGCTGGGATGGCAGAGCGGGACAGACAGCACTGGAGTCCAGTTCAAACAGATAGAAACAGTCCCTCTCTCTCTCCCTCTCCTCCAACACCACTTCCAGCTTCCCCTAAGATAGAGGTAAATGGGGAGAGTGAGAGAAAGAAAGAGAGGAAGACAGAGGTTTGAGGAAGAGGGAGGATGAAAGGAGGGGATGTAGAGAGGTGTGCATCAGTTCGTGACAGGGAGAAAGCGAGATAGGCATGTCAAATCATCACACCACAATGATCTATAGACATTGAAGAATACGGCCCAAACCCTCCCTTCCCTCTCTCACCATTTCCACTCCTCTGTTGCAGGAGATCATGACGATGGCTTTCCTCATCTCCTTGGAACAGTGGCCGTCATACCTGGTGCCGTTGCTGTAGATCAGCATCACCCAGTCACCTGTAGGGGGTGATGGGTAGCAGAGAGCGAGCGAGAGCGATGAAGGGAAGAGAGAAAGGGCATCACTATATCTGGTCATGCTACAGCAGACTTACAGAGATACTAGAACATACCGTAACATACTGATACGACTGTCACATGACTTTTTCAAAGGAAAAGATAAAGAACACGGACATTCTTACTTCCTCCGATAGCCTGTGTTGCATTGTACAGGCCAAGCACTTTCTCATCTTTCCCGGTCTGAACGAGTCCCGCTCCTACCGTTTTCCCCGCATCCCCACACACCTGGAACTGGTACGTGTAGCTCTCCTTGCCGCTTTTAGTCTCCACCGAGAAACTGTAACCAAGGGAACCGTGAACAAAAAACAGTGAGCTAACGTTACCTTGTATAAGTGTTACATGTGAAGTAGACTAAAATGAACACACTCTGGAAAACTAAGGGAGTTTCCAAGCTTAACGTGGCCTCCTGACTGCTGATCAATACCCTTTTTACACCTTCATGCAAAGCTAATTTCCGTGACAGCTGACAAAGTATAATTTCATCTCCCCAAGCAACTGACGTCAGTGTGCGTGGAGTCTTACTTTTTTGCTGATAAACACTTGCTTTGATACCCCTCACCTGTTAAAGCAATGGGACATACCACAGATATTTCTATGTTTTCTTCTATTTCGGTAATTCCTTACTTCTTGTTAGTGAGTGGTTCTAGAAGACTGAGGACCTTCCGTTCTGCCAGGGACTCAGAGAACAGTTTACACCTCTTGGTGTTGTCACTGGCCTGGCCTCCACACACCAACAGGACCAGCTGAACAGCCAGAACTAACAGCCGCACAGACGTCGCTGTGTGTGGGGGGGGCATGGACACCTGGGGGAAATATATAATCGTACACGATTAAAATACTATACTTAGTAAGGCTTATTTGGTCTGTTTCACTGCAGGACTGATTCATTGCCTAACCAATTCATTTTGAAACAATGACACTGATAAAAGCAGTAAATGAGTGCTGCACTTTTAATGTTGTAGTAGGACTACTGAGAAAAAACACCTTCCTTGTGATATTTACAATGATGGTACAAAACATTAGGAACACTTGCTCTTTCCATGAGACTGACCAGGTGAAAGCTATGATCCCTTATTGATGTCACCTGATAAATCCACTTCAATCAATATAGATGAAGAGGATAAGACAGGTTAAAGAAGGATTTTTAAGCACATGGATTGTATGTGTGTGCCATTCAGAGACTGAATGGCTAAGACAAAATATTTAAGTGCCTTTGAAGGGGGTATGGTAGTAGGTGCCCAAGCGCATCGGTTGTTGTGTCAACAACAGCAACGCTGCTGGGTTTTTCACACTCAACAGTTTCCTGTGTGTATAAAGAATGGTTTATCACCCAAAGGACATCCAGCCAACTTGACACAACTGTGGGAAGCATTGAGAGTCAACATGGGCCAGCATCCCTGTCGAACACTTTCGACATCTTGTAGAGTCCCAACGAATTTAGGCAGTTCTGAGGGCAAAACTCAATTTTAGGAAGGTGTTCCTAATGTTTTGTACACTCTGTGTCACTATTTCTGTGATTCCTAAGACATGATACATCTCATGAGCAAGTAGGCCTGCCAAGACAAAACTAAAATGACGCAGCAAAGCTGCTTACAATAATGGTGCGTTCCAGACAATTGGGAACTCGGAAAAATAGTAGATCAAATCATAACGTCAGTGATCTTCAGCTCGGAGCTCTAGAAAGAGGCCCTGGTTATAGTTCCCAAATAGGAATTACGAGTTGGAGGTCAGTTTAAAAAATAAATAAAACATCGTGGCTCTTTTTTCCCCTGAGTTCCCAGTTGTCTTTAACACTCGACGTCGGAGATTTCCGAGTTCACAGTTGTTATGAACGCGGCATAACATTTCTGTTTGCAGGAGGAAATGAAACTATCCCACCATCTTGACTTGCACACCCCTGACCTAAGCTGCATTCAGGATGGTTGCTGCAACGTTCCGTGAGCGCTCAAGGCAAAACTGTCGAACATAAATTACAGAAACGAGTTTGACATAAACACCGTGGTAGATGCCGTAAATCATAGCAAAATGGATGATAGCGGTAATTAACAAAGCATCTGTCATGCAACTTTTGAAACGTTTTAGAACGTTACGCATCCCGAATACACCCCTCGCCTCGGCTGATACTGGAACAGTAACAACTTTTAGACATACCTTCATTCTGAAAAGATGTAACCAGCTATTCCGTTAGTGTAGCCAATGAATAGTGTAGGTTGAAGTGGCTACAGTCTAGCTGATCAAGTAGCTAGCAAAAGCAAGCTAAGCTAGCTAAATGGGACACTGTGTCGTGTTTTGTCTTGCAAATGCAACAGACTAACACCTGGTAATCAAATTCGATCACGCACAATCACAAACCCATGTTCGTTAACAGTCCGCTTTAAAATGCACTTTAATAGAAACGATTTATGCTATAAAATCATTATACAGCGTCTAGAGTTACTTTATGTCAGATGCGGAAGTGGCACTAAACAAGGAAACGCATGTGACTAGTTGTAACAAGCGGAACTAGTTGATTCTTCACAACCCTGTTCCTCTCCTTCGATGAGGTTTAACGGTGGTTGGCATCCAATAAATGTTGCATTACCGCCACCTACTAGACTAGAGTATAACTCCCTTATACGTTGCTTAAAATAACACTACACTCACTAAAAAATTAAATGATAATAAATATAACCATACTCCACTATTTAAATCTATTTAGTCCTACTTCAGGCCAACAGCCTGAAAGGATGGGACACCACCACTTAACACACCCTGTAACTCTTCTGAAGTCAAATCTTGCACATTTACATTTTAGTCATTTAGCAGACGCTCTTATCCAGAGCGACTTACAGTTAGTGCATACATTATATATATATTTCCCCCTGTGGGAATCGAACTCACAACCCTGGCGTTGCAAACGCCATGCTCTATCAACTGAGCTACATCCCTGCCGGCCTTTCCCTCCCCTACCCTGGACCAATTGTGTGCCGCCCCATGGGTCTCCCGGTCGCGGCCGGCTACGAGCCTGGATTCGAACCAGGATCTCTAGTGGCACAGCTAGCACTGCGATGCAGTGCCTTAGACCACTGCACCACTCGGGAGACACCCAATTACCTCTCTGCAGCTGCCACCACAACCTCTATTTTCTGCAACTTACGTTCCATCACTGCAGTACAGTTAATAGTTATTGCTATAAATGTCAAAAATCCAATCTTACTGAAACATATATCACTTGTTGGTTTATCCCTCTGTACTGGTACATATCTACTACTCACACCACTCCTCTCAGGATCCCTCCCCCTTGACCCATCTTCTTCTACTTTCTTCACTGCCTCAGCATATGACAACTTCTGCACTACTCTAACCCTGGAAACCTCAACCTGCCTCTCTCGCACGGGACATTTCTGATCCCCAGCCCCATGGGCACCCCTATAATTAACACATACCACTACTTTCCCCAATGCTACACATTTCTTTGTCACATGCCCTTCTGCACACTTCTCACACCTAGGAACCTCCCTCCTACACACTGCTGCCACAAGCCCATAAGCTTGACTCCTGTAACAACGTAATGTATTTGGCACAAAAGCTCGTACAGAATAACTTATATATCCTAACATCACTTTGCCGGGCAAAGACTCAACATCAAAACTCAAAAGAACAGACAATGACTCTTCGGTTTCACCACTCACACCCCCACCTAACAACGAGCATCACAAACACCGGGAATCTTCCCCTTCAGTTGGTCAGCTTTCACATTTACCGCTACCCCAGTAATCACTCCTTTCAATGGCGCCCTTTTCTTGAGAGCAAAACAATTCACATCTCTTGCCCCCATTAGTTTAACACGGAGCGCCTGCTCCCTCTGACCAGCAGAAACACAAACAATTATCACCAGACCACTTCTGGTTACCCTCACCGATTTCACAGCACCCAACTCTGTTTTCACCCACCCTGAAACCACAAATGGATCAGCCAAAAGGCAAGGGTCCAATTTTTCCGAAAACATCACTCCTACTGTCACAGACTCATCTTTATCCTGACCCTCGGTGCAAGCTTCGCGCTCCGAGAACTTCACCACACCTATCACCTCCGATACTTCGCCCTCATTCACTTCTATTTCTCCTCCTGTCTTCAACTCACTCTGCTTACACATTCTACCATTCTTCTTTAACAAACCATCTCCCTTTTCCCGCCATTTTTAAATGACTCAAGCTCACCTTCTTCCTCCCTCTCTCTCTTAGACCTACTCTGCCTCTCTTTTTCCCTCCATTCCTCCTTCGTATTCCAAGTATAAGTCTCCTTATGATGACGCAATCTCAATCGCACTCCACACTGCCCTTTCCCACCTGGACAAAAGGAACACCTATGTGAGAATGCTGTTCATTGACTACAGCTCAGCGTTTAACACCATAGTGTGGTAAGGGTAGACAACAACCCATCTGCCACGCTGATCCTCAACACTGAGACGCCTCAGGGGTGTGTGCTTAGTCCCCTCCTGTACTCCCTGTTCACCCACGACTGCGTGGCCAACACCATCATTAAGTTTACTGACGACACAACAGTCGTAGGCTTGATCACCGACAACGATGAGACAGCCTATAGGGAGGAGGTCAGAGACCACCTTTTCCCCCTCAGGAGACTGAAAAGATTTTGCATGGGTCCCCAGATCCTCAAAAAGTTCTACAGCTGCACCATCGAGAGCATCCTGACCGGTTGCATCACCGCCTGGTATGGCAACTGCTCGGCATCCGACCGTAAGGCGCTACAGAGGGTAGTGCGTACGGCCCAATACATCACTGGGGCCAAGCTTCCTGCCATACAGGACCTATATAATAGGCGGTGTCAGAGGAAGGCCCAAAAAATTGTCAAAGACTCCAGTCACCCAAGTCATAGACTGTTCTCTCTGCTACCGCACGGCAAGTGGTACTGGAGCGCCAAGTCTAGGTCCAAAAGGCTCCTTAACAGCTTCTACCCCGAAGCTATAAGACTGCTGAACAATTAATCAAATGGCCACCCGGACTATTTACATTCCCCCCCCCCCCCCCCACCCCCCACTGTTTGTTTTTACACAGCTGCTACTCACTGTTTATTATCTATGCATAGTCACTTTATCCCTACCTACATGTACACATTTTTGTTTTTTACTTTAGTTTATTTAGTAAATATTTTCTTAACTCTATTTCTTGAACTGCATTGTTGGTTAAGGGCTTGTAAGTAAGCATTTCACAGTAAGGTCTACATCTGTTGTATTCGGCGCATGTGACAAATAAAATGTGATAATACTGCACTTCTCCTGACATACATCTTGTTCTTGCCTTGTCAAGGGACGCCATTTAACCGGCTGTCACAATCTCCGTACAATCAGCACGAACCCCTCGGGATGTAGCGCTCAACAGTGCATCCCACTTGTAAAGTATGAAAAAATATATATGTGTATGCACTCACTAACTGTAAGTCGCTCTGGATAAGAGCGTCTGATAAATGACTAAAATGTAAAGCAGCTGCTTCGTCTTGATGTTCTTCTTTATCAATATCTACTGCAATGCTTTTCCATTTCAAACAAGTGCACTCATATAGTCTTGTACAGCTAACCTTGTGGGGACACACAATTCAGTCCCATTCAAAATCCTATTTTCCCTAACCTCTAACCCTAACCCTAACCTCAACCCTAACCCTAACCCTAACCCTAACCCTAACCCTAACCTCAACCCAAAAACCTAACCTTAACCTTAACCCTAACCCTAAACATAACCATAGCTCCTAACCCTAACCCTAAAACTAACCCTAGCTCCTTACCCTAACCCTTAACGTAATTCTAACCGTAACACTAATTCTAACCTTAACCTTAAACCCCCCCGAAATAGCATTTGACCTCGTGGGGACTAACAAAATGTCCCCAGTTGGTCAAATTTTTGTTTGTTTACTATTCTTGTGGGGACTTCTGGTCCCCACAAGAGTAGTTAAACACGTCCTATTTCTGCTGGATTCCTCGATTCGCTTGCTGTGGAGCAGCACAGTAGTTGTCATATTCCTCCCTCGACGGCTTCACAACCCTGTCAGCTGATTTGGGAATTTGTAGTTGGGAAGTTATTGGTAAGGGTGGCAAGAACGAACAAACATCACACAGCAAGTGATGTTCTGAATTTAAACCCTCGCCATTCTCTCATGTTTTCCCATTACTTTAGCCAGTGTAAATCTGGGAAACGACATTGATAGCTTCAGCTATGCACAGCTTCAGATGATATAGGATATAAAATACAATAAGGCTGTCTATATTTATTTACTTACAAGTAATTAGGCAATTTATAAATAATATGTTTAAGGCCTGAATGAACCAGACATCATCACACAGATCAGAGGTCTGATAGCATACACACAGTTTAAAACAAGAGAGATGTTTGATGTAGGGTGAAGTCACATGAACGTCTACCATGGCTGAATGTGTCACTAAATTCAAGATGATGACCATTGTTTCCACTCTTCAGAGGAAACTCAACTCAACTGACAGTGAAATAACTACATCAAGCTCACAATGGAATAGACAAAGGGTATGCTCAAGGATCAACAAAGTTTCTTCACTGTGTCTGTCACCCTCTAGTAGACAGCACTCCCTGCTGTTCACAGACTGATCACTGTGTTGAGTGGTGATGGTGATATAGCCCAAACCTGTTCCCCCTCACAAAATACTCTTCTTTGTCTGATTGTCACTGAAACCTAATTAGCACACTCCTACATGCATTTACATGAAAGGACAAAAGATAGCACACCACTTCAAGTATTTTTGATCATGGGATGAGGCTACAATAGGATTATCTAGAGGTGGAACAGACAGATGTGAAAATACAGTTGCTTCTCCACAAATATTTTGGAACAGACTTGATGATTAGTTTCTTTCCCAAAAATTATTTGAATCATTAAATTGCCATTGATTGCTGTCTCCCATCCTGAGGAGGTGTAGATTCCCTCCACTCTGACACCCCACCCTCATTGAACCCCAGCCCAGAAAATACAAATGGAGAGGAGCATTAAAATACATTTATCTGACACTTTTTCTTATGGATTTACATTATTTAGTGATCTTACAGATTCCAGTAATTCCTCATGGAGAATAAAAAGACTCTGTTTGCATACTTAAATAATTGATATTTGTAATGACTCAGGCCCCAAGGTTTCCTAGTCAGGTCAAGTGTTCAGGGTAAACTCCTGGCCCTAGCAGCACTGACAGTACAGCTGACATAGTCCCTCTCCCTTTTCTGTTATTGCCCAATCCTGTTACTGTGATCCAAAGAACTAGCTTTCCTTTTCTGTGGAAGCTTTCCTTTCTCCTGGGAATGTTAGGGACGTTTTTATAAGCCTGCGTAGGCTGTGTTTGTTTGCTGAGTGGCTGTGTGAGTGTGTGAGTGTGTTCTCGCTCCTCTTTGCCTCCCCTCCCCCTTCCTTTATTCTAGAATCTACAGCCCTTACCTGCCTTAAGTGTGCTGTGCAGACACACCCGGCTATCCTGCATCAACCAATCACAGAAAAGGGAGAGACACCCAGGAGGTGTTCTTCCTGTGTTTGGTGAGAGAGGAATGGAGCAGGAGAGAGAGAGAGAGAGAGAGAGAGAGAGAGAGAGAGAGAGAGAGAGAGAGAGAGAGAGAGAGAGAGAGAGAGAGTGAGAGTGAGTCTCGGCAAGCCTTATCTCGGGGTCAACAGTAACTGATCACGTCAGTGTTGGAGGAAGGAGAACAGATTGATTTGTGGGATAAAGTCAGCAGCCTTTCGTTTGGTTTGTCCAGATTCCTCTGTTAATTAACAGTGGCTGTGAAGACATGTCAGAGAGAAAAAGAGGAGGGTGAAGATAAGTGTCAATCCGTTCAGACTTGTTTGGGAATTTGAGCAGGGAAGGGGGGAGGAGAGAGAGAGAAGGAGAGAGAGAGAAGAGCAGAGGGGAGAGGTTGAGGCGTAAACATTCATTGTTTTAGCGGGACAGACAGATTGAGAAGAAGAGAGATGCAGAGAGAGACAGAGGGTCAGGATTGGATTAAAATTGAATAGAACTTTGAAATCCTTGTTAGTTCACACTACTGAACTAACTGAAAGCTGAAGAGAGACTAGACCGCCCCGGCATACTAACCTCATGTGAGTCCCTCAGATCTCTTTACTGTGTTTCTCTGCTGATCTACCAGTCAATCTACAGTTCTAACATTGATTCATGGCTAATTTGTCTAGTGGTTTATGTGTTACATGTATGTTTTCATTGTGTGTAAGAGAGTCCTGTTTTAGGGTTAGTTGGTGTGTTGAGCGATGTTATGTGGACTGTGCTATGCAGACGTGTGCTGTGCTGCGTTCAATAAATCAGTGTTCCCAGGTGTCATATAATCTGCTGGGCTGTTTCTATATTTCTACAACACTTTGCTGTTGGCTCTGTTGTTGTATAGATACCTGGTGCTCCAAGCTTAAAGGGAAAATCCACTCAAACTATATTTTTACCAAAATATAGTTTTTGAGTGGCTTTTCCCTTTAAATTAACTCAAGCAGTTAGCAGTATAATCCATTGAGTTAAAGTGTATTGAGGGTTGGCTATAATGGTTATTTTTTAAGTGTTGTCTGACCAAAGGTTGTGACGCTGTGGTCTCAAACTGGTCGCATAAACACATTGTTGCCTGTGATTCTTATCATCATAACACCCACAGTTATAACACTTTGGACTTGCGTTGTATGGTAGTTACAGTATCTTCACCTCTTTGTAATTGACAAAAACATGTTACTACCCAGTTGAATAAATGAATAGTGATGCATTGGTCAGGGTTGGTAAAGCCACTAGGCCACTATTCAGCTTCAGGGGTTGAGGGCCACAGTGTGCCTAAGGCTGTTCTTCACCTTCCATTTTCATTGATCTCAACATTCCTTTATCCCCATTTAGTGATTGAAAGTGATGCTACTTCAAGTGATTATATTGGTTGTAGCAGTATCCTTGCAGAATGTCCAGATTGTTTTGAATTATAAGTTAATGAGAGAATATTGTAATCTTTCAGGTTCTGAAAAAAGTATGTTACCATGGGGACCAAACGCCTCAGTCTGAATCCCTTTGACACATTTAATCTATCCAATCAAAGCGCTTCCGACCGGAACCCTCAGCCAATCAGCCAGATCTCCCGCGAAACAAGTCCCAGACCTGAAACTATGGCCCTGACAGACAGAGAGAGGGAGAGGATCAGAGAACAGGAATGGAGGAGAGAAAGAGAAATGGAGAGATTGAAGGACAAAACAAGAAATAGAAGAAAAGAGATGGAACCTGGACCAAGAGAGAGGAACAGAGAGAAGGATTGTGCCCCCATATCCAGAGGGAGGGAGGAGGAAAGGGAATGGAGAGAGAGAGGAAGGGGGAGAGCGGGAGAGAGACGTGCCAACGGAAGACCTACTTCAAATATGGAGATCGGGAACGACAGAGACAGAGAAAAGGAGAGAAAGAAAGGAGACACGTTTCCTAGAATGACAAGAAATAGCAACGAGAGAGACAGAAGAATGAGTGCATTTGTGGAGGAAGATGTGGGGAAAGAAGGAACGAGACAATTGGAGAGACAGAAGGGAACAGAGATGGACGACAGGGAGAGAGAACGAAAGACAGCAGCACGGATACAGCAGTATCGAGACGCAGAGAGGGACTTACAAAGATACAGAGAGAGGGAGAGAATAAGGGCAAAGGAGGAGGGAGAGAAAAATGGAGGGAGGCCCATGGATGATAAGACAGTGAGACGGAGGGAGAGAGCGAGGGAAGCGGACCCAGATTTCAGAGAAAGGAGGAGAGAGAGGGACTCAAAGGGCAATGACCTATGGAGCAAAAGAGAGAGGTATATGGATGGAGAGAGAGAAAGGCCAAAACTCTGGCAGGGAGAAAGGGAAGTTAGAGGGAGAGAGGGAGATTCACAGAACTATTCGGATAGAGAGGGCAGGGATGGAAGGAGGGAAGGAAATAGAGAGGGACAGAGGGACACCAGGAGCGAGGGAGACAGTGATGGAGAGAAGTGGAAAGAGAGAGTGAGGGATGACAACAGAAGAGAACTGAAACATCCGCACAGTAAAAGTGAGGGGGACAATGAGGGGAACGCAGCATGGGATAGAGTGAGGGAGAAAGAGAAGGAGAGACAGAAATGGCGAGGGGGGGAGATGTACAGAGAGAGGGATGGAGGGAGAGATGCTTATAGACAGAGAGTGAGGGACGGGGGCAGGGACAGGGATGGAGAGAGGGACATGGAGAAATACAGAGAGAGGGACAGGAGAAAAGCGAGGGAAGTGGAGAGAGAGAGGGATGGGGTGAGAGAAGGAGGCAGGCGAGAGGACGGACCAAGGGAAAGGAGGGACCCGGAGAAAGAGAGGGAGGGAACACAGCCTAATGTAACAGGAAAGAGAGGGAAGCGGATGGACGGAGAGAGATTCAGAGAGAGAGACATATATTCCAAGGGGGAGGATGAAGAGAGGAGGCGCAGGGAGAAGAGAGACCGAGAGACAGATCCCAAAAGGGAGGGAGGAGCAGACGGAGGTAGCCGATCGCAGAGTGAGACAGCCCCAAGGGTGCCACCACGAGTCCAGAGCAGCGGAGAATGGAGCAGTGACATAGAGAGCGAAAGAAACAGGAGAAGAGGAAGAAACAGTCATGAAGAGAAAGAGTCAGAGGTAGAGAAGGATGTGGACAGGGGGCAGAGAGAGCGTAGCGATAGAGTGAAGGGTAGAGAAGGAAGAGAGGAGGAGACGAAGCGCCCTGAGCAGCGGAAGATGTGGTTAGAACCACAGAGGGTCAGATATAACAAAGACTCCTCTGTAGAGGATGAGGTTATAGAGAGAGACCGAGACAGGCACATGAACAGATGGAGAGAGAGAAGTGAAGAAGAGGACAGATCCGTGGAACAAAGGACAGGCGGAGAAAAAGAAAGGAAGACAGAGGGAGATGGACAAGAGGATAGGTCAGCGGAACAAAGAATGTCCATAGACGGAGAGAGAGAAACTGAGAGGGAGGGAGGGAGAGAGAGGTATTTGGAGCGAGGGACAGGGGGAGAAACAGAGATAGAGTTAAATGTAGATGAAGACGATGAGACAGAAGCCTGGAGAAGGAGTGATAGCAGAGGAGAGGAACACCAGACTTATAGCGATGGAGAGAGAGAGGAACGCTGGCAGAGGGACAGGGAGACAGAGAGAGAGAATGTGACAGAGGGTGACAGAGAGGAAGAAGGAGGAAGTGATAGATATGCACACTCCGAGCGCGAGGGAGGAAGTGAGAGAGAGTGGGAAGGAGAGAGGGGTAGAATCCCTTCCTCTGAGGACGGCTTTTTCACTGTGTCCAGCGGTGGAGAAGAGGAGTTTGAGGACTGCAAGGAATTCTTGGAAGTTGGGATTGCTAATCATGTTGCCAGGCAACCTGTTGGCTTTCAGGGGAGCGAGGGAGAGATGGAGAGAGGTGGACGGAGAAGACATGAAAGAGAGAGAGAAATAACAGAAGAACGGACAGAGCAAAAGGAAGATGCAGTGGAGGGAGAGGTGAATGACGGAAAGGGGAAGAAGCAACCCACCTACGTGTTCTGTGTGATTGGACAAACACTGCCCAGGTCAATACCCAATCAGACCGAGGTCCTGGGTGACATGGAATCAGAGCCGACCAATCAAAATCCTGGATATGGTCATAGTGACAGTGGTGACATCACACACCTCCCTCATGATGACCCTTCCAGAGATGGAGACCAAGGGGCAGAGGATGAGAGAAAAAGAGTGAGGGATGAGATCCACGTGCCAAAGGTGGAGAGAACAGACACAGAAGAGAGCTCCATAGTGGATGTCAGTCACGCCACCCTAGAACGAGAGAGCGGAGAACGACTGAAGGTCATGGAGGAGAACCCATACGCTGAGATAGACCGAAGGAGGAACTCTGAGACCGAAAAACTCCTCAAAGAGTGGAGAGAAAGACATAAAGAGTACACAGACACAAGAGAGAGGGACCCAACAGACAGAAGGAGGACAGAACCAGAGATGGGTCCATCATCACACCCCAGTGGAGAGTACCTCCAGCATGGGATCTCTGTAGTTGACCAAGCCACCTCTGACCAGAATAACCCTGGAGTGATGAGCCCAGAGGAAGCTGTGGCCATCCAGATCCATATAAGTGGAGCCTGGAGCACAGAAGAGGAGGCCAAGCGCCATTCCCAGGCCTCACACATGAAGTGGGCCAATGACGTATTGAGCGAGATCCTTGGCTGCTCGGAGGAACACGCCCTCGGCGACCCCCAGCCAGAGTCACAGGGAGGTCAAGAGGTCAGCCAGACTGAGAGAGGGACCGAGAGGGTAGAAGAGGAGATAGAGGAAGAAAAAGACGAGACGCCAGAGGGGGGAGGAGCATCACCCGTCTACGCCACGGTTCATAAGCGGACGAAGTGTGGTAGGAAGTCGGTGGAGGCGGAGCTGGCTGAGCGGGAGGCAGAGCCAGGGAAGGTGGTGGATGAGAGAGGTACAGGGGAGAAACTAGCAGACATGCATGCTGAGGCTCTCAAAGCTATGCTTGGTGATGGCGCACCCACAGACACGCATGCTGCTATAACCCTAGACACTACTCATGGTGACACACCTACAGACAGACAGGGAGAGGAGGTGGAGGGTAACAATGTGTGTACGGAGAGACAAACAGACAGTCATATACATATCCAGGTAGAGATGGTGACAGAGGATGAGGGTGAGATGGAGAAAGGGGGTGAAGTTGGGGACAAGGTTCATATACTGGATGCAGAGAAAGAAGCGCATGCCCAGAAAGAGGAAGATCTGTTTCTCTCTGTGAGCAACACCCTGTACAAACCAACCAGCTGCCCCAGCCTTATATACAACCCTGACTCAGAACAACCTATTACCACCATAGAGGAAAAGATGGAGGAAGAAGGGGAGAAAGCGAGGACTGTGGGAGAGGGGGAAGAGAATAGTGTGGTAGAGGGGAAGCAGGAAAGGAGGATAGAGGATGGGGCCGAGGACAGGGGGAAATTGGGAGAAGCGACTGAGGAGAGGAAACTGGAAGGGGAGGCAGAGAAGAGGGTAGGAGGGGAAGAGGAGAGGATGGGGGAGGGCAAGGAAGAGAGTAAAACAACGGGAGGTGGGGGGGTGAAGAGCACTTGTAGTTTCCAAGATTTGGGCACCGATGTTCGGTATAGGAGGCGGGGGTTCCGCAAGACAACAGAAAGAAGAAACGAGGAAGAAGAAGAAGGAGGAGGAGTTGCGAGGGATCGCAGAACGAGAATATTCCATGCGTCAGGTGAGACAGACAGAAAGAGACGGAGGAATAAATCAAGAGAAAAGCAACTCAATACCTAACACAGATTAACATTAGAATAACCTAATTATGATCTTAATACTCAACTAATTTCATGATCTCAAATCATCTAATTTTGTCAACCTAACCTAACCTTTTAGAACGCCAGACAGAAGAGTTCATACTTTTTTATTTGAAGACTGTTATACAAACAAACGTTAATTCCTAGTGATTGATACCCACATGAAAAAATACTATAGTATACTATGGTATAAATACTATATTATAAACCGGGTGGATCGAGCCCTGAATGCTGATTGTCTGAAAGCCGTGGTATATCAGACTGTCTAACACGGGTATGACAAAAAATTACTTTTTACTGTTCTAATTACATTGGTAACGAGTTTATAATAGCAATAAGGTACCTCAGGGGTTTGTGGTACAAACAAGCAAGATTTCTGGCTCTCACAGACCTGTAACTTCTTCTTTAAGAGGCCCCTCTGTCCTCCACTCATTACCTGTATTAATGGCACCTGTTTGAACTTGTTATCAGTATAAAAGACACCTGTCCACAACCTCAAACAGTCACACTCCAAACTCCACTATGGCCAAGACCAAAGAGCTGTCAAAGGACACCAGAAACAAAATTGTAGACCTGCACCAGGCTGGGAAGACTGAATCTGCAATAGGTAAGCAGCTTGGTTTGAAGAAATCAACTGTGGGAGCAATTATTAGGAAATGGAAGACATACAAGACCACTGATAATCTCCCTCGATCTGGGGCTCCACGCAAGATCTCACCCCGTGGGGTCAAAATGATCACAAGAACGGTGAGCAAAAATCCCAGAACCACACGGGGGGACCTAGTGAATGACCTGCAGAGAGCTGGGACCAAAGTAACAAAGCCTACCATCAGTAACACACTACGCTGCCAGGGACTCAAATCCTGCAGTGTCAGACGTGTCCCCCTGCTTAAGCCAGTACATGTCCAGGCCCGTCTGAAGTTTGCTAGAGTGCATTTGGATGATCCAGAAGAGGACTGGGAGAATGTCATATGGTCAGATGAAACCAAAATAGAACTTTTTGGTAAAAACTCAACTCGTCGTGTTTGGAGGACAAATAATGCTGAGTTGCATCCAAAGAACACCATACCTACTGTGAAGCATGGGGGTGGAAACATCATGCTTTGGGGTTGTTTTTCTGCAAAGGGACCAGTACGACTGATCCGTGTAAAGGAAAGAATGAATGGGGCCATGTATCATGAGATTTTGAGTGAAAACCTCCTTCCATCAGCAAGGGCATTGAAGATGAAACGTGGCTGGGCCTTTCAGCATGACAATGATCCCAAACACACCGCCCAGGCAACGAAGGAGTGGCTTCGTAAGAAGCATTTCAAGGTCCTGGAGTGGCCTAGCCAGTCTCCAGATCTCAACCCCATAGAAAATCTTTGGAGGGAGTTGAAAGTCTGTGTTGCCCAGCGACAGCCCCAAAACATCACTGCTCTAGAGGAGATCTGCATGGAGGAATGGGCCAAAATACCAGCAACAGTGTGTGAAAACCTTGTGAAGACATACAGAAAACGTTTGACCTGTGTCATTGCCAACAAAGGGTATATAACAAAGTATTGAGAAACTTTTGTTATTGACCAAATACTTATTTTCCACCATAATTTGCAAATAAATTCATTAAAAATCCTACAATGTGATTTTCTGGATTTTTTTTCCTCATTTTGTCTGTCATAGTTGACGTGTACCTATGATGAATATTACATCTTTTTAAGTGGGAGAACTTGCACAATTGGTGGCTGACTAAATACTTTTTCCCCCCACTGTATATGGCCAATATACCACAGCTAAGGGCTGTATCCAGGCACTCCTCGTTGCGTCCTGCATAAGAACAGCCCTTAGCTATGGTATATTAGCCATATACCACTCCCCCTCGGGTCTTATTGCTTAAGTATTCACTGTAGGGTTTTTTGCAAACTTTACTGTAGTATTCGCTCTAGTGTTTTGCGGACTACATGGAATACTGTAGTATTTACTGTAGTATACTGTAATATACTGTAGTATTTACAGTTAACTATAGTATAAATACTGTAGTAAAATAACTGTAGTATATAATAAAGTAATTAATGGAGTGTTTTATTTCGAATTGTAATATACTGTTGTATTTACTGTAGTGTTTTTGCTGACTAGTGTTTTTGTGGACATTACCGTAGTATTTACTACAGTATTTTTCTCTGGATAATACTGTAGTATTTACTATAGTATTCTACAGTATACTACAACATTCTATAGTAAGTACTACACATGATCGAGGGATACTACAGTGTGTAGTATAGTATTCTACAGTTTATTACAGAATTGTATCGTAAGTAATGTAGTATTCTATAGTAAACTGTAGTATTTTTTCATGTGGGATTTCACAGAAATCTTAAGGAGATCCAACCTCTGATGCTAACTAACCCAACCTTACCACAACTGTGGACTTCTGTTTTGCCGTTTAAATTTCCTTTAATCTTGAATTGTGAATTTCTCATCAGTTCATTATGAGGAGACTTACAAGAAACTGCCATCACCTGAGTCACTGACATGAGAAGGGGGCAGGAGAAAGGGAGGAGGAAAGTGGAGTTGGGGACAGTGTGGCAATTCCAGAATCTCGCAATAAATAGGCTGGGTTAGAGTGTCTGGAACCATTACTCATTCTTCTTCCTTGACTCTTCTATCTATTCTATCCCAGCTCTGTCTTCACTTCAGTACGTTCTGTCTAGAGAGGAGCGCAGCTAGGGGAGTTTAGCAAACAAACTAATCCTTGTTTCTGTAACAAAACCTGCTCTGCCTGTACTGTTCTGAGCCAAAGTATATTACATTATTGGGTTATGTTGCTCTATCTCTCTGGACTACACTGGAACCAATATGTTCTGCTTCCAGTTGATGATGAGGAGGAGGTGAGCTTCAACTGGGGAGACGTGGACCTGAGGTGAGTAGAAGATAGGAGGGGGAGGGAGGGGGCATATGTTATGTTAGTGCACTGGGCTACCACAGTGACATTGCATTTTTATTACATTGTCATATTTTATGGCCACTTGCCATGTATAGAGTCAGTCTGCCATTTAACCCTAACACTAGGCTGTGTTAGTGCCTGAGTTAAAAGAGTAGAGATAAAATGCACCACACTACTTCTGTAGATGAAGTGTTGACGATTCCCTGTCCTGACTCCTGCCTCTCCCTCTGTACAGGAATGTCACGAATACCATCGGAATGGCTAGGAGGAACTCCAAATTTTACAGTGAGTATCTCTGCTCTACCTCTCTTTTCTCTCCTTCATCCCTGTGGCACTCACATGCACTTTCACACATCCACTTCTCTGAAATGTATTTTATATGTATTAATATTAGTTCAATAGCACCTTGTATGCTACAATGAGCAGAGAGAGCTAGTCTGTGTTTATGGCTATGTGGGTATGGAATCTGTGAAGGCACATTTATTTCTAGGTTAACTACGCTCCTTGTAATTTGAAATGAAAAAGTCAGTAAAATCAAACAAGATACTTCCACAGACAGATTTCATCTACCAGTAAAGGTGCTGTTAATGAAACGTGTCCACAGACAGATTGAATCTGGGACTAGATATGACTGTATAGCAGTGTACTGTGAGTCCCTAGACAGACTTCTTCCTGTGAATGGCTTACTCATGTATACAGTGCATGCTTGATCCCTTTCTGTATTTTCCCAGATTATTTTCCAGTTCAAACATGTTGTAGTTTTCCTCCATGGAACCTATAAACTGTAGGGTTTCATTTTCAGTTCTGCTTCCAACCCAATAATTTAAACATACCAAAATTGCAGCAGGTTTGCAGGCCTATGAGTCAATGTGTAATTGTATGAAATGGGGCAGTTGTGTGTGTGTGTGTGTGTGTGTGTGTGTGTGTGTGTGTGTGTGTGTGTGTGTGTGTGTGTGTGTGTGTGTGTGCGCACACTCCAGGGCCACAGGCAGGTTTGTACAGGTATTCATATCTCTTTACTCCAATAAAAACCAGCTGCCGCTGCTATAACATAACATTCCAAGAAGTGTATGTAGGGGGAATGTAAAATGTAAACCATACACTCTGGCTAACCCACTTCTCTGTCTCTCTCTACCTTTCCCTCTCTTGATATTTCTCCCCTAACTCTGTTTTTCTTCTCACTGTCCTCTTACTGTCTTCCACTTTGTCCTTTGCTCTCTTTCTCTGCCACTCTCTCACTCGTCCTCTTCATCTATACCCATTCTGTCCCTGTCTTAACTTTTCTCTCTCTCTTACTCTACTCATCTCTCTCTTCCCCTCTCTTTGCCTCCCCTCCACCTCTCCTCCTTTCTCTCTCTTCCCTCTACCTCCTCTTCCCCCTACCTCCTTTCAGATTCCCAGCTCTACCAGCAGTACAGTGAGACGGCTCAGAACAGGGAGATCCTTAGTCAGTCTTGCTCTGACACCCTCTCCATCTACGAGGAGCTCCCTGTCCCCCTGTCCCCCGTACCCTCCTCCCTGGCCCCCTCGCTCCCTCCTGCCCGCAGACCCTTACCCTGTCTCCCCCCAGTCATCCACCCCCACTCTCTGTCCCACTCTGGCTCTACGTCCAGTGGCACCAGCGCCAAGTTCCTGCCCCTACCACAGCCGCCCCAGGCCCGCCCGGCCACGCCGGCCCCCCCAGCCAGGCCTTCCTCTCCCCGCCTCTCCATCTCCCTCACCCAGTCCCCAAGCCTGTGGCAGGAGATCCCTGAGGTCAGGAACAGTGCTAAGTTTGGGGAGCTGACTGAAGACCAGAGACGCCTGCAGGAGGTAAACAAAAACTAACACAGCAGGACAACAGTTGACCCTTCAACCAGCGATGTCGATGATGACATTTGCCAGTTGCCTAGTAGCTAATGTTGATTTTCTGGAGCCTGGATCTGTGGGTTCTCGGGGTAGTTGGAACAGTGCTTGTAATCTCCCCCTCTCCTACCACTCCTCTTTTTTTCTTCTTCCTGTCAGGTGCAGTTTGAGGTTGTAACTTCGGAAGCGTCGTACTGTCGTAGTCTGGACATCGTGGTGGACCACTTTGTCAAGTCTAAGCAGCTCGGGGAGCTGTTGACTACTCAGGACAGGAACTGGCTGTTCTCCAGGCTGGCCGACGTCCGAGCCATCAGCCACAGGTGAGAGGACTGGGACTTATTTGTTTGTTCCTCAAACTAGCAAACCTACAGGCTGAAGGTCATGGGCTCTCTCTAAGCCCCTCTTTCTCTTTTTCTGTCAACGTTTACCTCATAGTCTTTCTCTGTATTTGTTGTTCTCTTAGTTTTCTGTTGAAGCTGGAAGAGAGGGTGGAATCTGATATGATGCACTTCACCGTGTGCGACATCATCGCTCGCCACTGTCAACGCTTCAAGAAGGTCTACGTGCCCTACCTCACCAACCAATCATATCAGGATGCCACTTACCAGAGACTCATGTGAGTCCTCCCCCACTGTTCACTGATTGGACAGACTCTTTCTGACAGACTCTTTGTATTACTGCACATTTATATGTGTTTACGTTGACTTACAAACAGCACATCACATTATTTCTCTCTCTCTCTCTCTCTCTCTCTCTTTATCTCTCTCTCTCTCTCTCTCTATCTGCCTTGCAGGGATGAGAACCAAGGGTTCAGGCGGGTAGTGGAGAAGTTGGAACGCAGTGCAGTGTGTCAGCGTCTTCCTCTTCGCTCCTTCCTCATCCTCCCCTTCCAGAGGATCACACGAATCAAGCTCCTTGTGCAGGTGTGTGTGTGTGACTGTTTCTGTACGTGTGTGTATGTTTTAAGTGCACAATCTAAGTATGTGACTCCTTATAATCCTCTCTTCAACACGGTCTCATTCTCCCCTTCTCAATCTCTCTCATTCCCTCCATTTCTCTTTGTCTTTTTATCTCAGAACATTGTGAAGAGAACAGCCCAAGACACAGAGGAGGAGGTCCAGGCCATCAAAGCTATGAAGCTACTGGAGAGGGTATGTAACCCCACCCCCCTCCCCTCCTTCTGGTGGTGCACTGTTACATGATGTAGCCAAGAGATAACACACTTGTTAACCATCTCTCTTCTCTCCCTCTGTCCTTCAGTTGATCCAGGAGAGCAATGATAGTATTACTCAGATGAAGAGCATTGAGTCGCTGGTCTCTCTCAGTGCCAGAGTGGACTTTGAATGCAGGGTGAGTAATAAACTACATCTGCCATGATCCCCTGCTTTACATGCTGTCCCTTGAACATATCTGTGTTGAACTGATCACAATAACAAGTTACAATACAAGTACAGCAGCAAGCTTTAACCGAGTTTAACGTATGTGTGTTGTAGACTCTCCCCCTGGTCAGTCAGTCTCGTAGGCTGGTGAGAGAGGGACCAGTGACTGAGATGATGGATTTCTCTCTAAGGGAGACAGAGAGGAGTGTCTACCTGCACCTCTTCAATGACTACCTGCTGCTGTCACTGCACAAAGAGTGAGTCCCCTCAGACAACAATCAAAGCAAACCAAGCATTAGGAAATCTAGACTGATATCACTTTTTATTGATACGTTTTTCAATGTTCTCATCATTGGGCATTATTAACTCTCCTCTCCACTCCTTTTCTCCTCCCTCGCTCTAGAGGGGGCAGGTTCACGGTGATAGACCATGCTCCAGTGTCAGAGCTGCGTGCTGAGAACTGTCGGGTCAAACTGCACTCTCTACAGAAGAACCTGTTCCGACTCTACCTCAACAAGAAAGCCCTGCTACTTAGCACCGACACACAGTAAGACAGAGAGGGTTGTGTGTGTGTGAGTGTGTGCCTGTGCGTGTGTTACAAAGAGTGAGAGTAATGTAATCCACAGGTGTGTCTAAAAAGTGTGTTTTCTTGTGATCTTTCAGAGGTGACAAACTGCGTTGGATCTCAGCTGTCTCCAGGCCCCATCCTGTTATTGACTACTCTGCAGCACAAGGTGGGTAAAAATGGCTATATTGCCATCCAGCCTAGCATGGCCAGACAGTAGTGATATCTTGACCCTCATGACCCTGCTGTATTTGACCTCTGACCCTCTCTCCCACTCACAGACTTCACACAGATGCAGTGCATCCGAGCCTTCGTTGCCCACCAATCAGACGAGCTGTCCCTGGAGAAAGCTGAGGTCATTCTGGTCCACCAGCAGAGCAGCGACGGTAAGGAGGACAGAACCACCCACTCCCTGATTGGTTGTGGGAATACACAACATCTCCATACCTCAGTGTTTTTGTGTGCTGAAAATGTGTTACTTTTTTAGTTGCTTTTTCTTAAAACTCTTTCCCTTCTCTCCCTCCTCTTTCCTCTCCCCCTCTTTCTCCCCGTTTCCCTCTCTCGCTCTCCCTCTCTATCTCAATCTATATCTCTCGCTCTCTCTCTCTCTCTCTCTCTCTCTCTCTCTCTCTGTCGTTCCTCAGGTTGGGTGGAGGGGACCAGGCTGTCAGACAGACACAGAGGATGGACTCCTGAGTCCCATTTGGAAACCATAGCCAGCCTCAGGGTCCGACAGCGCAACCTGCTGGATGCTCTCAAAATTACCACAGCCACGGCTGCAATATGACCAACCAACCACTGCCTGACTGCACTGGGGGAATCCCAGTCACTGTGTATCAATGGAGTGGAGTTACTGTGGTCCTGTGGATTTGGACAGTGGATGAAACATAGTGTTTCAGACTGGAGTTGTCCCTCCCGGCCTCACCCTGCTTATTGGGGATGAACGGCAAGGGGATGAATGGCTTTAGAGGGGGTGCCTTAGACGGGGGTGCCTTAGAGAGAGGCACTGGACTGACATGAATACCTGTAACACTTACAGGAGTGCCAACGTAAATAGTTGGAAGGCTTTTGGAGGTGCCTGGGAGTGTCTAGGGTAGCCTTGTAAATCAAACCCTGGCAATGATAGTCGATGGACTGCTACAGGCTGTATTGGAAATCAGCCATCTATGACTGTAAATACATGGTACGATACACCATGTCAGTGGACGGGAGTGTTTTGCAATAGAGGTTATATTAAAGGGAAATTTGTCTTTAAATAAAATGTTTCTATATATTCAGGTCAATTTATTATTTGTGTTTATTACAAAGATTTTCATAAATTACTTTTATGGTGGGTACTTATTGGATGACGACTCAAACTGAATTATTCCACTGCTCTATGTTCGCTACATACTTCAGTCTAAGACTGCCATTGTTGAAGTCGTTTGTGGTGACATCAAAATGAGGGGTGTTGTACTAAACAAAGTAATCAGCGATTGGATAATCTTTACCCAATCAGAGTATCAAAGCCAATGACAAAAAAATTTAGCGCAGCTTTACCCACATGTGCTCTGGCTCTTCCCAACCCATTGGTTTCTGGGACCAATCAGAATGGTTATAATGTGTTTGCTTTCTAGAAATCGTCGGGGAGGTACTCAGATACAAACTCATTGTGTAGAAGAAACGAATGTCCGTGGGCATGGCGTAGGGTTTGGCTGGAACAAGGAGTTTGAGTAGCCAGGCAAGGGTACTTAATCCCCCTTGAGATACAGAAGAGTAGGAGATAAAGAGAGTGGTTGTATGCACATTGTTAAGAATGTTGAAAGTGCTGTAAGTACAATTGAAGTGCAATACATTCCCAGGACTGCATACACAATTTTATGGCAAAAGAGGTACAATGATCAAAATAATATGTTCTGTCTGTGTTGAGCAGACTGAGAAAGTATGCTTTGGAAATAAAGGATGATTCTCATGAATATTAATGGTCCTCCACCTATAAATTAATGTAGGCCTGTGTGAAATACTTTATTCATTTTCTGACTATTGTTTTTGATAGCAAATAGTGAAATTGGAACAGCAGGAGAACTTTGGCTACATTAAGGACTTTTGGCCTTAAATCAATAGTAGACCCTGGTCAACGGACTTGGATAGACTGAACACAACTATGTTTTCAGCCCTGACTTAAAGTGTACTTTTTACAGGACACATCGTATGCAACGTCTGGCACGTATGCAACGTCTGGCACGTAGAGGAAGGTTCTCCTGGCCCAGTTTTACAACAATTTAATTGGTTGACTAAAACGTAAATCAAGCAAAAACCGAGTCAGAGAGTCGGGAAACAGCACTATTACTCCAACGGGAGCGTTATAAACAAAATAAAACGCCGTCCCCCAACTCTGCCCGAGTGGTTAAAAACGTTGTCCATCAGCGCAAACAACGTTCATTGGTCTAAATCACTCAAATTGGGCGTTACTGTATATGTTGTTGTTTCTGGGGCATAAGAAGTATCTAGCTAGTTAGAACAGTCGGCTATTTAAGAATATATTGAATTTAGGTCCGTTGATATAATTGAATCGAAAATCACTGTTCGTTGTGCTCATTATATGATAGCGTTGGTTACGTGAAGAGTCGGTGGGAAAGATCGGTGTGGAATTTTCACTTGTATTTGTTTTTATTCCGTTTTCCCAAAGGTGAGTGAGTGTTTGACTCTTGATTCCTTGTCTTCGCTTCGACTTCGTGCAGCATATCCCTCAATCTCGCAAAAAGCTCATTGGCTTTGATCGATTTGTTGGCATGTATTGGCTCTCGTTTGGATGCCATGTGAATGCGTTTTTTTATCCAGCAATAAGGATTAGCCATAACATTCGCTTGCAACATAAGCTAGCTACTGTAGCTAGCTAACGTCAACGTTAGCCTATCAGCTGACCAAACCCAAAACTGTAAATAATGACGTGGCCACCTTGCCATGTCTGAAAAACCACAACAGTAGGCTACAGTAGTTGGCTGTGATAGAAACAGGGCTATGCAGAATCAAACTTTAACCTGTTGCTATTATGATCATACATGTTAGCTAGCGTTACCTTGGCTATCACATGATGTTTGTAAATAAGATGTCGCTAATTTATGCATCCATTAGAAAGCAAGCCAGTGTGTTCACGCAATGTAGGCTATGTTGTACATTTTCATATATAATCTCAATATTTAGTTTACAAGCAAGTGCAAATATAATATTATATATGCATATCACATTTATAAAGTTTAAAGAAAAAAAAACGTATAAACATTGTAGACCACTCTACATACAATACATGATTTCAAATGATTGAGTTGTCAAGACATCATACAGTAGCCAATCTGACTCTCCCTAACCAGTTTGCTTTTGTGTACCTGATCCATCTACGGTGCACATGCTGTTGTTGTTATGTCATCATGGTCTTGTGTACCTTGATATCAGGACAGGGTGGTATTTACAGCTGATAAGTGGCTCCAGGCTTCTCATACAGCCAGAGCTGGTTAGGCTATATTTTAGTTTTAAATTGACTATACACATAAGAATAGAAGTCGTTTGAAGAACGTCAGTTAACATATTTTGTCTTGCATTATTATATGCTCAACTGCAAGTAACAACAATATACAGATACAGTAATTTGTAAGTCGCTCTGGATAAGAGCGTCTGCTAAATGACGTAAATGTAAATGTGATGTTACAATGATTACAGTGCATCCATATATGATGTATTATCACATGTTGACCACTGTTGACCCGTCCCTGTGTGTCTCTGTAGATGGACAGTCAGTACCAGCGCTCTGTACCACTGGAGGTGAGGAGGGCAGAGGGTGAGAGGGTGCGAGCTAAGCATCCCGACAAGATACCGGTAAGTGTCAACAGAATAACTACCACTAGTGTTAGATAGCTTCCTTTCCTTAACTCCTTTCTCTTATGACCATTGGCTACTAATCTGAAAGGACATCACACTCATTATATGATTGTGAATTAATTTCCAGGGCCTAAAAACCCTATCCATCCCTTTTATTAGCTGATAAGTGATCCTGGCATAGGATGAAGGGAAAGGAAGTTAGTAAGGTGTTATTAAGGTCAGATAGGGTTTAATACATGGATGTTAGCCTTGCATGCGAAGTTTCTTGGCTCCAGTTGAATGGGACATGATGGTAATTACTGTGTTCCCTCCTAAACCAGATCATCGTGGAGAGGGCTGCCAGGTCGAGAGCTCCTGACTTGGACAAGAAGAAGTACCTCGTGCCCTCTGACCTCACAGGTGAAACTGATGAGATGTCTCTCTTTCTCACAATTATTTCCTCTCTCCCAACTCATGACCTTGTTCTTACCCTCTTCTCTTCCCTCTCTCCCTTCCCTCCACTATTGCGCCACACTTCCTCTTCTTTTCAAATGAAAGTCTAGCTAATGTGTTAGTTTTGTTCTGTAAGTCCCTGTCTGACCATCTCTCTCTTTTTCTCTCAGTGGGTCAACTGTGCTTCCTGATCCGACAGCGTGTGTCTATGAGACCTGAGGAAGCTCTCTTCTTTTTCGTCAACAACTCCCTTCCCCCATCCAGTTCTCCTCTCTCTGCTGTCTATGAGGTAAACACACACTCACACCGACGCAACCTTTTATCCAACCCCCATGACCCCCTAACGCCAGATGCCAGGGATTCTCTCACTGTCAGTGACATGACACAGCTCCATTACATTGAGATTGTGCTGAGCGGGTTTTGCCTATGTTATAAACAAATACAATTAAAATAAAATGTTTTAATCAATGTACATACTTCAGTTATTATCAACAGTTCTGCTTTGGCCATTTTAAATCCTTATTTCTGTCCCTGTCCTACCCGGTCCCTCTCAGGAGCACCATGAAGAGGATCTGTTCCTATACATGACCTACAGTAATGAGAGCGTCTACGGTGCCTGAGAAGGGACAAAAAGGAGGAAAGCGAGAGAGAGAGAGAGAGACAGGAGATGAAGAGAGGATATGGGAGAGAGCTCTTTGTAACGTTTCACCACTATTATTCTTTATTAAGTGTTTAGGAGATGGCTGTGGGGAGGAGAGTTGGTGGGGAGGGTTTGTATAAGTTTTGTCAGTATTTTTGGGGTGATCATGGTAAGGCATTCTGAATTTGAAAAATAAGGGGGGAATTGGAAAGAGGGGGAGTGAAAAAGAGATTTGAGTTCAGATGTGAAAGAAGAGTGTTAAGGGGAAAGCTCTTGATTTCCACCTTTCTTTCTCAGCCAGTCATCTGTATTTAATGCAAATATTATTATTTTTTGTAAATTAATATCATGGAGTGTTTGTGGAAAATAAAATCCAAAATGCATGGTTTTCTAGTTCTGCAGTTTGTCATTTTTTAAACATTTTTATTCAGGCAAGATTGTGTGTGGGAGGGGGAGGGGGAGAGGGCAAATTTAAGTATTGTCACATCACAAACTGTCCCCATCTCATCCTCTATTTTTTAAAGTTGTGAATGTAAGACATTTATTTGTCTTTTGCAGAAGTTCTAAGACGTTACATTTGGATATACCGTACAATTAATTTTGTCAATCTTATTTCCCGTAAATGTCCGAACTCAAATAAATTGCTGACACTCAGTAATGGTGAGTGGGAATGACGAAATGTCTCTCATAAAAAAAGAGTGAGTGAGCCAAAGATAAATCAGTGAGGAAGTGTAACTTGTAAATGACAAGAGGGATCATTTTGTACATTGTTTATTTTCTATTCAAGTGACACTAGCTACAGAGACTAAGGGAGATAATTTAAATAGATCTATTTGGTTTGTGTGTGGGAGACTTACTACACAAGTAACTTTCTGGAGATTTTGCTGAACAGGCTTTCCAGGGAAATAGAAAGTTAGAGACCCAGACAGAAAACAAGAGAATCATGGAGATGCAAGAAATCCCCCGAGAGGAGGAAAGAGTGGTGGAAGTGGACAAGGGTCAGAGAATGCTGGAAACCTCAGGTAAAGAAAGAGAACATCTTCATCACCAAACTTGGGGCTAATGGGGTAAATGTGCACCACTTTCCTCGGAATACATCAGCATATTTTCATTTCTCTTACTGTAGGTTCAATCCTTTAAAAAAAACATCTTAAGCTATATGGTATTTTGTGTTATGTTCTGAGAATATTAATTTGGTCCTAAGCTTCCACATAACCTATCTGTGTGTCTGCATGTCTGTCAGTCAAGGAAGCTGAATCTACAGTCTACTCCAAACTGAATAATCCATCGGAGGACATTTATGCTGAAGCTTCTCCTGGCCAGCCCTCTGCCAGAGACAGAACAGGTACAGGTGGCTACAGCACTGTTATTATATTATTAATCAAATGTAATCAATTAAATATATTTTATAAATCCCTTTTTACATAAGCAGATGTCACAAAGTGCTTTACAGATACCTGGCCTAAAACCCCAAAGATTATTATTATTATAAGATTATTACATTATTATTATTATTATTATATATGTCTGAACTAATCCTATATAAATGGAGGTCTAAAAATGTCTTATTAAAGTAATAAACATTATTTCTACTTTTAATACGCAAGAGAGGAAGAATAGAGGAAAAAGAGGAATAGCGAGAGAGACTGAAAGAGTGTGTGTGAGAGAGAGAGAAACATAGCGGTCAGTGCTACAGTGTAACTATAGTTTTCCCAGTTCCGAATTTTGATTACGGACACATTTCCTCGGTTTAGCCTACTATTAATGTTGTGTGTGGTGTGCAGCTTGCAGTTTGCATCTGCATGTCTAGACTGTTGAGTAGGTCATTAATTGCCCATTCTTATAAGGCACGTTACAGGTGAGGTGAGGTTGTTATTACAAAAACAGAATGTCAATATTCCAAAATGTCCATATAACAGGATTTCTATATTTCTGACATGGAAACATGAAATAATGGGGTGAAAATGTCTAGTTTTAGGGGAGAATATTATCTAGTGTTAGGTTGCGTCCATTCAAATCTGGTATTGGAACAAAAGAGGTCAACACATGTCCTCTAAGATTTACTAGTATTTTAATTAATGCAAACACTTGAATGGTAAATATGATGTTCGTATATACAGGCTCACTGAAACACCACGCAGGGCAGACAGGGAACTGACTGCTCAAACACAAAGTTCTTCTTTAATACTCTGACAGAGATAGATCCTGCTCAAAGCGGGCCTGTCAGAGTAGAGGCTGAGCGTGGTTTAAACTTACCCAGCCTATCGATGGCGCACAGGCTGGTCCCAGCCCCTTGGCGCTTCACTGTTGCCGGGCATTGGTTCTTTTTTGCAACTTGTCTATAGAGTCAGCAACCGACAGACATAGTTTCCTCCTCTTCATTGTTGCAGTACACATGTCCTTGAGCGGTTTAACAAAGAGGCAGTGTGTGTGTGTGTGTGTCACAAGTCTATCTCAGCCTCCCCCCTAACAGTTCCTCACATTAGTCACAGCTTGTTATGTTAAACAATCTATATCAGTACAGCACAAACCTATTATGTTTAATCATTAATGTATTCTTTTTAAGCTAGGCATCACATCTAATTATAAGAAAATTGATCCCAACAATCCCCCTTTTCACACCCGCTGGGTGTGAACCCAAAATAAGAAATATCAGGGAAATTTAGGATTCCCCCATTTGACACCCCCTAGGGTGTCACTCACTTCTAATGAAAATATTACAGTGGGGAGAACAAGTATTTGATACACTGCCGATTTTTCAGGTTTTCCTACTTACAAAGCATGTAGAGGTCTGTAATTTCTATCATAGGTACACTTCAACTGTGAGAAACGGAATCTAAAACAAAAATCCAGAAAATCACATTGTATGATTTTTAAGTAATTAATTTGCATTTTATTGCATGACATAAGTATTTGATCACCTACCAACCAGTAAGAATTCCGGCTCTCACAGACCTGTTAGTTTTTCTTTAAGAAGCCCTCCTGTTCTCCACTCATTACCTGTATTAACTGCACCTGTTTGAACTCGTTACCTGTATAAAAGACACCTGTCTACACACTCAATCAAACAGACTCCAACCTCTCCACAATGGCCAAGACCAGAGAGCTGTGTAAGGACATCAGGGATAAAATTGTAGACCTGCACAAGGCTGGGATGGGCTACAGGACAATAGGCAAGCAGCTTGGTGAGAAGCCAACAACTGTTGGCGCAATTATTAGAAAATGGAAGAAGTTCAAGATGACGGTCAATCATCCTCGGTCTGGGGCTCCATGCAAGATCTCACCACGTGGGGCATCAATGATCATGAGGAAGGTGAGGGATCAGCCCAGAACTACACGGCAGGACCTGGTCAATGACCTGAAGAGAGCTGGGACCACAGTCTCAAAGAAAACCATTAGTAACACACTACGCCGTCATGGATTAAAATCCTGCAGCGCACGCAAGGTCCCCCTGCTCAAGCCAGCGCATGTCCAGGCCCGTCTGAAGTTTGCCAATGACCATCTGGATGATCCAGTGGAGGAATGGGAGAAGGTCATGTGGTCTGATGAGACAAACATAGAGCTTTTTGGTCTAAACTCCACTCGCCGTGTTTGGAGGAAGAAGAAGGATGAGTACAACCCCAAGAACACCATCCCAACCGTGAAACATGGAGGTGGAAACATCATTCTTAGGGGATGCTTTTCTGCATAGGGGACAGGACGACTGCACCGTATTGAGGGGAGGATGGATGGGGCCATGTATCGCGAGATCTTGGCCAACAACCTCCTTCCCTCAGTAAGAGCATTGAAGATGGGTTGTGGCTGGGTCTTCCAGCATGACAACGACCCGAAACACACAGCCAGGGCAACTAAGGAGTGGCTCCGTAAGAAGCATCTCAAGGTCCTGGAGTGGCCTAGCCAGTCTCCAGACCTGAACCCAATAGAAAATCTTTGGAAGGAGCTGAAAGTCCGTATTGCTCAGCGACAGCCCCGAAACCTGAAGGATCTGGAGAAGGTCTGTATGGAGGAGTGGGCCAAAATCCCTGCTGCAGTGTGTGCAAACCTGGTCAAGACCTACAGGAAACGTATGATCTCTGTAATTGCAAACAAAGGTTTCTGTACCAAATATTAAGTTCTGCTTTTCTGATGTATCAAATACTTATGTCATGCAATAAAATGCAAATTAATTACTTAAAAATCATACAATATGATTTCCTGGATTTTTGTTTTAGATTCCGTCTTTCACAGTTGAAGTGTACCTATGATAAAAATGACAGACCTCTACATGCTTTGTAAGTAGGAAAACCTGCAAAATCGGCAGTGTATCAAATACTTGTTCTCCCCACTGTATATGAAAACCCTAATGTCTTCCGTCTACACCTAACTTGTACTAGGTTGGCTACCAGCCACCCAGGAAATTCAAACCCTCACATACGGAAAGACAAAATCTCAAAATACACAGGATAAAAATAACAATAATCACAAGCTTTTAAGATTTGTAAAAAATAAGAAAGAAGACCTTCTTGCAGCAGAGGCTACACCTACATTTTTGTCCCAGAACCTGAAACCTTCACATCCACCTGCTGCTACATTCAATACATGTGAAATCATTTCAAATAAGCTTTATTCAATTACTTCCTTAACGGCAAACCAAGGATCATCCTGGTTTGGCTCTGTGTCTGCTCCTTCCTGGGCTTCCAGTAAGGGCATCATACCCGCGGCATGCACGACATCTGTAACAGATTTTCTCAGACAAGGGATAATGCAGGCAGCGCAACACATCAAAATTACAAATACAACAATTAGGGTCAGAAATCCAGTAACCACCAGTGCAGCGTACTTACCAAACCACTCCCCCAACTAGGAGAACAGTCCGTTTCCCTCCATTCCAGCCATGCTCTTCATTTCAGCTGATAGTTTATCTAAACCAACTAGGGCTTTAGAGATACTCCCGTCAGGACTGGTATTGTTAGGGATAAATGTGCAACAATGGCTTACCATTCTATAGACACCGCCCCTTTCTGCCTGATCTAGAGCCAACCTCTTTTACTAAGTCATGAGTGAGATGGCGGATAATTGTTCAGAGATCCCTTTTACTGCATCCCTAGCCAATAAATCGTTGTTGGTCGTAATAGATATAATTAATCCAATCCACAATTTTGTTTGTCACCCACCAAAAGAACGTGGTAGTAAACCCTTCCCCTAATTGTTTCATAGCTTGGTATCCATCCGATACCCCCCTTGGTATCCCAATCGCATCCATCTAAATAGGGCTATTCTCCTTCTTGTTAAAACTCCTCCTACATCTGTTTAATACTTGGTTCCAGGTGACTAATTCTAACTAGCTGAACCAGTAGAACCAGGGCGCACGTATCTAGCCACCCTTTTGGAATTCTCTGCCTTATACTGCCTTTACTGGCACACGCCCACCACACATCGGTTACAGGGGCTGTAAGGTTTAGAATTCTCTCCTGTGCTTCTGAACTTAAGTCCATCACATTACTACTATCTCCAATTGATAATTGGTGATGTCTTTGTTTCTCTTTACCCCCCATCTGGATGTTCAGTCCCGCCCAGTCTCATATCCCCGTCCCCAAGTGTGTCTAAACACTTAGTCTAGGAACAATCCGCCGTGGGGGCCGAACACTAATATAATGGGATTTTATAATCCAAATTTGCTTATTGACATGTACCCCACCCGTTGGCTACGTCCCTAACCCTTATTTTGAATCTGACAGTCTGCCCTTCTCTGACTCCCATTTTGTAGGCCACTCGTCCTTGACGGTCAGTATGTCGGGTCGCTTCTCTTCTCTTTTACTTCTTAACAATGTTAAGGGGATAGTGTAATTGGTGGTGGATCTTGACATATCAAGACCATTGCCGAGACTATGATGCAGCTCAAGTCACCCATATTCCCAAAAACCGCCAACCCTCTCCTGTCCTCAGTCTTTCTGCTTGGTACTACCCCATACACACACCCTGAGAACACACTACAGTGATGATAGGTCGGGGTAGGAGATCTTCGTTAACAGAGGTGATCCCCAGACCCTATTGGTCCAGTTCTTCTCTCTAACTCTGCATGTGTTCAGTGGTGCTTGCATGTGTTCTTACCTTTTTGCAGTGGGGAACGTGGACCCAGGTTGCTCTTTCTGCTATTCTATTGGCAAAGGCAGTGACCTATATAACCTGATAGGGCCCTTCCCAACAGGCCTGCTTCCAGTTTTTCTTCTTTAAGGATTGGATCCACACCCAGTCTCCAGGTTATATAGAGTGGGTCACCTTCTCCTTTAGTTCACCTGTGGGGCACAAAACCTCTGACATACAGGTGTGGTTAATAAACTATCTTACGTGTTCAGCTCTCAATTTCTATTTCTACTATCATCCCCTCTTGACACATGTTTTGCCCATGTGTCAATATTACCACCTACCTAAACAATCACTTAGGTAATATTGGTAATTTATCATCCAATTGCCATCCCTTATTTATTTTTGAGATTGTCCCTTGCTTCTTTATTGCTCCTATCTTCCTGATATTGTAGGGGATTTCCCTCAATCCT